TGTCAATCTTTCTGTGTTTAAAGTAGAAATATTTCATTTTTCTACTAAAAACTTATTCTTAAATACACCATCAACACATGACATTCAAAAATCAGGGAAGCGTACTGATGACGTACATTGGTTCCTCCTGCACGGGTTCTTTAGGGTTTGTGGCAGAATAGATGACATATATTGGGCTATTCATAACTCCATCCCCTCTCTAGGCACTGTGCTCTCTTTGGTGCCCAAAGTCTTGGAGCTCATGATCATAAAGGCAGGAAAGACAGAAAATATAACTCCATTCCATAGGAGTTTCTCAACATACAGGAAGACAGCTTCCCTGTCAATTGAAGACAAGTGAGAGAGATGTATGGTGACATTGTAGCCTTCTGTGAGCCAAGGACCTGCTTTCCCATAGTTCCCTTAGCAATCATGTCAGAATTGGAACACTCCACAAGATGGGCCACGATCTGCCACAGCTGGAATTCTTCTACATATTAAAAAGTTCAAGTCTGACCTGTTAGCTGAAATCACTGTCTTACTTCCCCTTTCTCCCTTCCTTTGGAAATCCTCTAAACAGGGCCCTTGTCTTGTGATGCACGCCTGTCCTCGCCCCCGCAGCATCAGCCAGAGAAGACACTAGATATCCTCTTTCGTTTTGCATCACCATAAATTGTCAGGACTCCTGTAAGATGGTGCTGCTTCTCCTGGATAAATGAGCACTCCTGATTATCAGCAGATGGTGTCAACCATGCTCAAAGCATTTCATGCAGAGCCATGTTCTTCCTCCAGGACAGCTTCACTAAAGAGAGTGTGGACACAGTGACACTCAGCACAAACACAGCCCTTGATGGAGACCGCTATGAGGCAGGATTGAATTTTTTTTTTTTTTTTTTTTTTTTTTTTTTTTGAGACAGGGTCTCCCTGTGCAGTTCAGGATGGCCTTGAGCTTACTTTGTAGCCCAGGCTGGCCTCAAACTCACAACAATCCTCCTGCCTCAGCCTCCCAAGTTCTGGGATTACAGGTGTGCACTACCACACCCAGCAGCAGGATTTAATATAGACCAATTGGCTTTTCAGGTTTACTTGTGAGTGTCCAAGGCCTAGGCCCCTTTCTGGAGTTAGCCAACAGACTCATAGTAAGTGAACATCTGTGAATCACTGGTCTCAGCTGAGGCCTGTAGTGGCCAGTGAAGCCAGGGTGCCTCAAAGGACAAGATAAGGCCACAACTAAAGACAAGGACGCCTGGCTCCAACCTCAATTAACTAAAGACTGTACCTGTAGGCATCTCACTCCTGGGTGGAGACCTTCCTGGAGATAGTTCTCCTAAATTAACATGTCTTACTTGGAGAAGTCCTTGAGCCAGACTTCCAAGGTCCTTCAATAGTCCTGCTCAGAGTCCCACCTTTCTTCAGGACTCCCCTCCTTTGTTTTGATAACTAAATAAAAACAACCATCCAGAGAAGATCTTTGTCTTAGCTCCCAGAGAATCTCAAATTCTGGGACAGGGTTTTGATCCTCCTGGAGCCCTAAAATCATACCACTTGACTCTTTTATTTAAGCCTTTGGGAGACTGTGGGCCTGATCAGTTAGCAATAACTAAGGGATACTATTAACCTGTTAAGCCCCCTCGTGCATGGCCTTACTCCTGGTGGACACTCTACTGTGTTATGTCCTTTTCTCCTACATTTTAAACAAAGATCACAGCCAAAGGAGGAAGCGTGATGGCTCAAAGTCTATTTGCATATGTTCTCAAAATACTTCCCTGGAGAGCCCGATCTAGTATAACTTCAAAAGCTAAATTGAACTATGAACCTGATGGATGTTATTTACTAATTTTTCTATTTTTTTTTCTCAATCACTCATTCTTGTTCAAAAGGCACAAGGGCGGAGAGGGTGAGACGAGGGCCCTTTGGGAATCCCACTTAGACTAATGCTGTCCACTTCTGGCTTCGCCTTAGAGCTCTTGTGTGTGTCTCTGTTGAGCACCCTCAGCTTCCTCACTCTGCATCTTTGAAACGGAGAGAATGAAAAGACACTGTTCTTTCCCAGCTCATCCTAAGGTTGCAAACACTAACTGGACATCATCTGCTTGGAGTTTCTGGTAAGAGGTGAATTATGGAAAGTCATATATTTTACATGGGTCCTTTGTGAATCACAAGTCATCAGAGCCAAGTAGACACGGCAGGAAGCTCTGTGACGCCAGAAGACAGCATAATGGGATCTGAAGCTATAAGCCTTTAAAACCAGCCCTGTGATATGCACACCGCCTGTAAGAATGTGATTCAAAGGAGCAGACAGGGAAAACCCCTCCAAGGGACCTTGATTTACCTGCCCACCCTGCACCAAGCAGAGGGGGCAGGCTCCCCAAAGCCAGAGGAACAAGAGACAAGCGGGGCTGGCCATGGTGTCTGGTACAATTCCCACACTTGATGGCTACCTCTCTACTTCCCTGAAATACCTGACAAGAAAGCTGTCAGGAAAGAACAAGATGCTTAACCTTGTGTAACATGAAATATTTCAGCATTTCACCATTGGCCTTGTTTCCAGAATATTCTATCCATTTTTGTTGTACAAGCACAATCAGTGCAAAAGTATAATTATTGGGCTGGAAAATAGCAAATATCCACAGACTATGCTGAGACCTGTTCAAAAATATTTAAAGCAACAGCACAAATCACTTTGAAGGTACCTGCTTAATTAACTGGCAGAACACCACTGTGCTAACCACCAATCTCAACCACAGTTTAACTATTCTTTAATGTGGTGCTGGGGTTCGGTCCAGAGCCTTGCATGTGGTAGCTATGTGCTCTCGCCAATCTCATAGTTGGTTTCTTTAAAAATAGCCACAACATGATTTTCCAATGATCCTATTCCACAGACCAACAGAAAAATAAGGGAATGCCTAAAAGATTGCTGCCTTTTTTCTTCCAACAGTTTCGAGAGCCCTTCAGGATAAATCTTGCAAGAACTGCAACCAGCAGACAAGCCCATACGTTACAGAGTTACATCATCAGCTGACATCCACAGAGAAGCCAAAGGTTAATTGCTACGGTTTACTGAACCATTCCAAACCACCCTGTGCAAGAAGATTTAACTTGACAACTGTTTGAACTTTACAGTCTGAAATTTCATCCACTTGTTTCATGAGTACTTTTTAATTACTCCCCAGGGGATATTAATAATGTTTTCTCTCTTCTTTTTTAATTACTCTCTGGAAGGGACAGTGGTTTCATGTTTTCCTCCTTGTTTGAGATAACTACCACCATGCCTCCCTGGCCCAGGAACACTTCTATTTTCTGTACCGTAAATAATTAAGGTAGAAAACGGAGATCTCAAGATAGATTTCTAACAGCTCAGGAGCCACAGTCAGACCACTTGGTTCAGAGCTCTCTTCCAGCTACTTAATCAGTTGGGTAACAGTGGGTGGGATATTTCCCTCCTCTGGCTATTTCCTCACCTATGTACTTTGATCGGTGGCTATAAAATGGTAATGGTACCAATCTTTTGAGTCCAAATTGGAAAGATGGAAAGGGATAATATATGTAAATATTTACCTCGGAGCCTGGCATATGATGAACACTCAAATAACAGTGTTTTTATTTATTTTTTCTTTTTGGTATTCCTGGAGATTGAACCCAAGGCCTTCACCTTGAACTACAGCCCCTGCACTGCACCTCGTTTTTATTTCTTCATTTTTGACACAGAGTCTCACTAAGTTGCTAAATTGCCCAGACTGCACTTGAACTTTCACCCCTCCTGCCTCAGCCTCCCAGTGTGCTGCGATTACAGACTGTAGGCTACCTACCGTGCCTGGCTACCATGTTTTTAAAAGTGTTATTGTTTTGACTCTATGAACAATTTCGGAGCTTGGTTCCTTGATCTCCCACAGGGAACAAGGTAGAAATGAAGTGGCAATGCAAACACTTACTGGCCTAAACCACACAGTGGGCAGAGGCAGCTGCAGCATCTCCGCTGAGCAGCATCCAGAGCGGGGGTCTGGATTCACTAAGCACCTTTGCAATCAAAAGAGCAAACACGTGCGCCTGCAGAATGCACAAATGCTTTGGTGCAGTCCCTGCCTGGGGTAACTGAGAATCCAGCTAAACTGCCAGGCACATGTGCATGTTTGCGGTGGGCAGAGGAAAGTCCTGCATCTTGTGGAAAGCTACACGCATACAGGGATTTCCTGCAAGGTAAGATGGCAAATCAGAGAGTCACCGAGCCACGCTGGGATATTACATCTATGTGGTTTAAAATGGAGGTGCCCGGTGACAGTAACCACTCTTAAAGAAGGGGAGCAAAATACCAGTGCTGTCAGCCGGCAGAGCCTGGGCTTTACAACGCCACAAGCATCGCAGTCTCAGACTCTGAGAATGATCTAGTCAAAAGGAACCCTTCAAAGTGCCTCCTGCAACAATGATCTCACAGCAGGGACTGGCCACGTTCTGAGCACGCCGGGCTCCTACCTCCTCGCGGCAGGATCGCACTAGCCTGCCACAGGATGGAGATGCAGCAGATGTGCGGAGTAGGCCAAGGATGCACCAGAAAGGGGGTGACTTCTGGCAACCAAAACCTAAGGCACTTCTGACTGACCCCTTCCTCTCAAGCTGCCCCTCCCCCGCCGGTGTTCTGTGGGCATCACAGTCATAGAACACAAGAAATCGGGAGTCTGGGGACAATCCCGCTGCCCAGCGCCCTTATCCGGGCCCCTGTGGTTTTCGGTGTGGCCTGCAACCACAGGTGGCCCCTAGAATTAAGCATGCAACGTTCTCTGCCCTTCCCAAACGTCTTGATGAGACCACACATCACAGGCCATCTTTAGGGACAGGCGCAGGACAAGGCCCTTGGGGAACAAATCCTAAAGCTGCCGGGTACCTGGATGCGACCCCGGGTTGGCGAGGACAGGAGGGCGGGTCTCGAGGAGCCCGTGCCTCCAGTTCGGCTGCGGGAGACGCCCCGCCCCTCGCTCCGGCTCGATCCCGAGCTGGGAGCCCCACTGCCCCGCGTCGCCGCTTACCTTGGCCCAGGACACCTGATAGGGGACCTGTGGGTCCCAGGGAGCGGGGCAGAGCAGATCCACCGTCCCGGAGCAGGCCACCTTCACCTCTAGCGTGGCGGGCGCCAGGCTGCAGGCTGCAAGAGAGAGGAGAGAGCGTGGTGAGCGGGTGACAGACGTGGTGTCTTGGGGAGGAGGGTGACGGGCGCCCCGGGCCCTACCGCAGCTCAGGAGCAGGAGCTGGAGCACGCGCGACATGGCTGAGGTGCTGCTGCCTTGCTCGCGCCCGCGCTCTTGTACCCGCGCTCGGGGACTTCCTCGCGCCACCGGGGGATCCCCGCCCGGCCTCCCG